CCTGTTGTACGGTTGTGAGACATGGTCGTTGAAAGTAGAAGACATGAAACAGTTGGTTTTGTGATTATAAATGTCTTCGTAGCATTTGCTCGCGTGTGGTGGAATAACCATGTGAGCAATATTCAGGTCAGGCGAATGGTACTAGGCAAGACAAAACAAGTCGATTGAAGACGTTATGAACGTCAGTCGATTGAGATGGCTTGGAAATGTACTGCGCATGCCCAGCCATCGTCTACCTCGACGTGCCATATTAGGGGAAGCTGGATTAAGTTGGAAGAGAGTAAGAGTAGCCATGCTAAGACCTGACACCAGTCGATGAAGTCCCTGTCCGTTGACTTGAGCTAGGTGGAGAGATGCAGACTGTGGCGGAGGCCTTCCACATAAAAACAATCAGTGGTTGAGTACTCTTTGTCACATAACTGCAAATCAGTCACAATGGCGCGGATGTATTCACTCCCTGACATCTTCTAAAGCCTGCATATTCACACTAACCTTCATCTGCAGATTGTTTATTCCCTCACACTACTTTATCTACTTTGATAACATTCCTTTTCTATCTACCTCTCCTTTGTGTATACTTCTGTGAATTGTGACAACTTGAGCAGATGCACTTCTGTGCAAGGTTCCACATTGGTTTTGTCAGTCAGTGTCAGTCATGTGTAACTGGAAACTTGTACGCCACCAAAAGGAAGGATAATGATAAGAACTCCACAAGTTAGATCTCGAAATGGTAAGGATCATTAACTTTGGCATTACCATGAACAATAAACTATTTTCAATCTCGTCTACAAAATAAAACTATTTCATAGTATGATACATTTAATAGGCAAAATAAAATGGAATTACACATGAAATAACCATTTCGATTAATGTAAGGTCAATGCTGAATAAAAAATGTTTTAATAGCGACCGAGTACTTATAACAAAACTTACGTAACGCAAGAGTAACCATCATACACTCTGGCAGCCTGCTTGAACTTAGGGCTACCAAACATTTCCCACCGAATTATATCACGTCAAATTGCTTCTTTTGAGCTTGCTTTATTCTTACAGATATTTATTCAAATTGTACAATGCACTCTCTTGCACTTCGAAAGTGGTTTCAAACCGCAGTTTCGGGATAAAATGCAGAAAAAACGTCATGCTAGATATCACTGAACTTTTAAAAGCACAATACATCACATTACTATTCTTAAAATAGTTAGTGCAAACAGAAGTTTTTCCTAATGGTTGAATAAATCATCACCATCACTATTTCTATTCCTTTGCCCTTGAGACAGAGCAACTTGACAACAGTTGATTGTTTCATAAAACTTACGCTATTAATGGCACTGACAAGATATCCCATTTTCCATAATAGATAGAGTGTAATGTGCTGCTGTTCTGGTTATATAGATGTGAAACATAGTCATTAGAAGTAGAGGACATGAAAACGCTTCAAGTATTCGACCTCCGTTACCTTCATAGCATAAGCGGTGTAGTGAGTTTCCCTTCATTAGTAATGCAGGGGTCAGGTATGGACTTTTATGGAGGAGAGAGGTCAGTTGACGCGGTTGTCATGGTGAGTCAACTCAGTTGGCTAGGAAATGTGCTACACATGTCTAGTCACTGTCTGCCTCATCGCACAATCTTAGCTGAAGTAGGTTAGAGGCTGGAAAAAGTTTAGAAGTGGTCAGTCTAAAACATGGTGTCCTTTGCCTTCGTATGCTACTGTGAAGTTTGGCAACTGGACCATAGATCATGAGTATTTACTAAGAACTTTATCATACTTCAGCTGATGGAAACAAAGTTATTGGTTTTCTCTGCTTTATTGTTTTACAGTTAAGCAACTGCATGAATAACCTCCTGCTTCACAGTTCATAAAACCTTAGTGATCCACATAAATAGTTTTTCTTTGTTACGTAATGCCTTTGAAATCTATTCCGGCGAAGTTTACACAGTGCACCCAGATTTTACCTATCCCGTTTTTAACCAAATCAGTGCTCAGTAGTAACTCGATGAACGGATGTCACGTTCATCTGATAAACGATTGTTAACATTCGGTAATGCCTGCATCACCGTATCAGGAAGGAAGAAGAAAGAAGATAAAGAATGGATCTCGACGGACACATGCAAGCTGATAGAGTAGGCAGAGGAGGATGGTGAAGCAAAAGATAAACCAGTGCAAGGATGAACAACGAGAAGAGGAACTGAGTACAATGTATAAAACACTGTACAAAGAAGTGAAGAAGAGTGCGCGCAAAGATAAAAGACACTTCCACTACACACTCGTAAGTGAAGCAGAACAGGCTGCCGGCTGGTAAGAGAGATCTGACAACATTGTATCAAATAACCAGGTTACTATATAGCAGAGAAGAGATCAACACACATGAAACCAATAAAAGATAGTGAAGGGAACTTAGTCACCACCAAAGAGGAGAAACAAAGGAGAAGATGGGCTGACAACTTTAAAAAACTCTTGAATCGACCTCCACCTACACTTCGTCCAGAAATACCACCTGCAGTCACAGAACTAACAGTGAACACAAATCCTCCAACAAAAGTCGAAGTCCTGAGCTCCATAAAGCTACTGAAATGAGAGAAAGCAGCAGGACCAGGTGGAATCCCGCCAGAAGCACTGAGAACAGACGCAGAGACAACAGCGGACATGCTCACACCACACCACTATTGCAGAAGGTGTGGAAGGAAGAGAAGGTACCTGGCGATTGGAAGAAGGGTTACCTTGTCAAACTCCCGAAGAAGGGAGACCTTAGTGTTTGCAAGAACTGGCGCGGAATCACTCTCCTGTCCACCCAAAGCAAGCAAAATATTAAGCCGCATCATCCTGGAGAGGCTAAAGGATGCATTGGATCCAAAACTACGACCGGAACAGTCTGGCTGGCTTCAAGTACAAATCATGTGCAGACCAAATTGCAACGCTACACTTCGCATCATCATAGAACAAAGTATAGAATGGCAGTCAACTCTCCCTCTACCTCAACTTTATCGACTTTGAGAAGGCCTTTGACAGCGTCAACCGAGAGGTAATTTGGAAACTGCTTCAATACTACGGAATACCGCAAACCTTTATCAGCCTCATTCAACAACTATATGAAGACGCTACATACCAAGTAATTCACAATGGGAAGCTCAGTAATGCTTTTGCAGTGAAGTGAAGATAGGAGTGGAACAAGGTTGTCTACTATCACCGATGATATTCCTGATTGTAGTCGACTGGACTGGATCATGCAACAAACAGTGAGGAGCGAGAAGAGGGGGATACGCTGGACTGCAGAAAAGAACCTAGAAGATTTGGATTTCGCCGATGACTTGTGTTTGATATCGCACAAACTTGAAGATCTACAGGCGAAAACCAACAAGTTGGCGGAAGAGGCAGGGCAGCGAAGACGAGACTTCAAGTGAATATAGAGAAGACAGAGGTGATGAAGACACCCAACCAACAAGAACAGCAACAACAAGCTCCAATCACCATCAAGGGGAGAAACTTAGAGTAAGTAGCCTCTTTCACCCATCTAGGTAGCATCGTCTCAACTACAGGTGGCGGCACAGACGAGGACGTCAAAGTCAGGATCGGAAAAGCAAGACAGGCGTTCATTAGCCTGAAACCAGTGTGGAGATCTTCTGTACTCAGCATAAAGCGTGAACAACATCCGGATTTTCAACACCAACGACAGTCAAATCAGTGCTCCTGTATAGTTCAGAGACTTGGCGGGTTACGAAAGGGATTTCCGACAAACCACGGACATCCATCAACTACTACCTACGCTGGCTCGTTACTGAAGATCAGATGGATGGCCAGAAAGAATAAGCAACAAGGAACTCTGGTTGGCTGGCAACGGACCAACCAAGAACCTATCGCTCAACAAATATGCAGAGGAAAGTGGAAGTGGAGATGGATTGGATTGGGCATACACTGAGAAGGCCGACTGGGGACATCAGGCGTCAGGCCAGGCCGTCGAGTGGGGCCCAGGTGGGAAGCGACAAGTTGGGCGTCCGAGGCGAGAGTGACATGGAGGAGATCGTGCTAGGAGGAAATGAGAGCTTGTGGGCTGTTGTAGAGCCAAGTTCAAAAGATTTCAGAGAACAGAGCGCACTGGAGATGTGTTACTGAATCCCTATGTTCCCTTAGGAACCCAAAGGACAAATAATATAATAATAATAACATTCGGAAATACATTAATTGGTCATTGGAGGGTAACTAATTTCATATTGACCGAATTCTGTCGATCACTTTGCAAGGTGACCACCATGCTCGGAGGCTCACTACCGCAGTGGCCTCCAGTGACTAATCAATTTACCTAAGTCAGTCCTGCAGGAGGTCAACTATGGTAAAAATAGCCCAGTGGTAATATCACTAACCGAAACACTGGGTGGCCCAGTCTTCGAATCTCAGAATGGACAACACTTCCCTCAAGGTTTCAAATACACATCGCTGAACAAGTGCCAACAAGCATGAAATCTAGGTCAAATAAGGCTTCCTACCAATTGCCTTTAACACAACAACCATAATATTCGAAAATGTCTACAGAACACACACTTCTTGTAGGACATAAATAACATTTGGACAACAACAGCAACAAACAAGGACATAAGACGTTTATATATTTCAGGTTGGAATTTGTCATGTACTGACATCAGTTGGAGAAACACTGGAAACCTCGGAGCAATGGACAGCTGTTTCGTCCTGGTATGGGACTATTCAGCAGTGAGCACCAATGACCCCACCCCGCCGGGGATCGAACCCAGGACCTTCAAGTTCCGCGGACAGCACGTTACCATTGGGCCGCCGGGTTGGAGTCCAATGATCCACGAGTGCCCACTGCTGAAGAGTCCCACACTAGGACGAAACAACTTTCCAGTGCCTTCAGGTTTCCAACGTTTCTCCAACTGATGTCAGTTCATGACGAATTCCAGCCTGAAATCAATTGACAAATCTCCACAAACCTCCAGATTGAATTTATATATTTCTTAAAAATTAATAATAATGATAATATAGTTGACAGAAATCTGATATATCTGGAAATAAATGCACATAAAATCTGACAAGTTGATTACTGTAAAAATATTTACAGGAAAGTTAACGGTTCAACACGTCTATCCTCCATATGAGATTGAATTACTTGACTAAACTCCTTCCTATTGGCTAAATTATAGCCAACAGACAGTAAATGCTTAATCTTATTGTTGAATATGCTTGCTTTCTCTAATGGTTGTGCTGAAAATGAACAGATGGAAGAAAAATTGGAAAACTATAGGAACAACAACGCAAACCAATATAATGAACAACAGGTGAAAGGAAAATATTCAACGCCACTGAAAACTTTATCAAAATCAAAGCAAAAGATACACATATATGTGATGCTTAACATAATATAGAGGATAGTCAGCATATTAGATGACGAGATGGATAGTGAAAAACCTCACTAAGATTTCTCAAGGGGAACCAAAAAATTCAGACCACATAGTAAGGTAGGATTGACAGCACAATTGGTGTCAAGGCTGTGGGTGTGCAGCTGCATGTAATATGCTGCTGACTGATATAAGTAGTTGTCCTGAGTCACTCACATCAGTCGGTAGTGGGATTTCGCACTTAGTTTGATTCTAGACATGACAAGTCCATTCAAGTAGCTAGCCGGAAATCGGGTGGTTTGAGCAGAGCTCAATTCGGGTACACCGTTCATAAGCTCGGCCCTGAAGGAACAGAACGTTTGACCAGAAAGCATTTGTATCACCTTGATTGGGTCAGAACTACTCATATCAACACAGTCAGTAGTATATTGAGAGTAATGAACTTTAAAATAATACAATAATTCCTGTTTTCAAAGTAATTTTTACTGTATCCGATGAATCATACTCTGTTCTAGTCAACGTAAACGTCATGTCTATTTGAAACGCTATTGCATTGAGGAAAAACGAATGATATCAATATTCATAGTTAGGACTAGGCTGTTTTGAAAACGTCTGTTAACCAAACTGAATGTAATATTTAGATGAAAAGCCTATTGTTCTGATTCAAATACTCTACTTCTGTTGTTGTTTGATATCTGTAATCTCCCGTTACTATACAGGGTTGATTTTCTCGACTTCTGTTGGTAGACGGTCTCCTATCTGAAAGCCTCGATACTGCAGGTACATTCAGCTGACGAGTCCCAAATAGGATAAAACGCATGTCCTGGATTATAATAAGGGTCACCAAGACGAAGACAACATTATGAATATCTGGCAGTATCCAGGTATCCATATAGGAGCCTATCTGTCAACAGAGGTCGAGCAATTCGACCCTGTATAGCAACGGGAAATTACAAGTATCGAAAAACAACCAATGATACCCGTTGCACAAGTGGTAGTTCTCGTATCCCAGTGGGAAAAAGATCACTCACTGAGGTGCAGGCACGTCCATCTGACGAGTCCGAAATGGGACGAAACGCGTGTCCATGATTCATGTGCGGGTCACCAAGATGAAGACTACTCTACTTCTAATTCATTGAAGTATAAACAATAGTAAAGGAACCAAAACTTCCAAGTTTAACGCATAAAACTGCAATGATCGATTCCACTAACTACATGATTCTTCAATGCATCTCTGTAATTGGTTACGCTACTTGATCAAAAAATATTACTGATGAGCAAGAGTTTATTAAAGCTGTCCATATCATTCACTGGTATATATCGTATAGCTTTATTCGCCCGATCTGGACGCTGTTTATACTGTCGAGTCGATCACATGTTTCAGACAATCCCCTAGCAACTTCTCAAATAACGAATCATAAAACAGAGAAAAGTAATTGCTTATCTCAGCATTTGCTAAGATGACCTTTAAAGTTACTCCTTTTCACATTTCAGTCTTAACCTAAATAGGTCATTACTAAAATGACTTGCGCATTCTGTACACGTATGGTTTTACGAGCGGCTTTAAGAATGACTGCAAAGACAACCCTGATAACTATTGAAATAAATGATTAGGTTTGTTAGTTTTAAGAAGAAATTAGTTTTCCAGTTGAAATCCAATTTGTCACTTCAGTAATTGCTAGGGTGACCTTTAGAGGCACTCGACTTTAAAAGCTATCCTACCAACGACTGAAATAACCAACAAGGTTTCTCCGTTTCGACTGGAAAGGTAGTTTTTCATAGAATACAGATTGCCTTTAGAGGTACTCAAATTTTAGTCTTTATTCTTACCTTTTGGATGAAATGCTAAAATTGACAAGCCCAATTCTAAGCCTTGTCCATAGTCTCCCTCATCATTGGCGAATTGAACACAGGTGATAAGCTCATCAATAGGAGCGAATTTAATCAGTTGCTCTTCCTTTGATTTCGAATCGACAATATCTTGCAGTTTGGAGTTGAGTTCAGCTATGTAGAGAATAAAAAATCAAGAGACCAAAAGTGAGTTAATTTGAATACATACCTGTCATTGATATTACTCAACTAGAAATTGAAAAAGAAGTAGAGTGAATACAAGTATAGAAAGTTGTAGTGAGACTAGGGAAACTGAAGCAAAAAAAGAAACAGTTGTAAGAAATAACAAGCACGCTGAAAATTGTCAAAATCTACCGGTATAAGGGGGAATCAAATAGCATACTCTTAAGATGAGAGCTTACTTTAGTGAGTAAAAAAGTATGCTATGCAGTTACTCATCAATGTACACGTACAAATTCAAAACAGTCCTGGCAAACTACATACATACATACATGTTAGTACTGAAAATACATGTGCCTTAAATAAAGATTGCATATCTCAGAACACTTATAATCAGGACGGCTCCCTATGAACGTTGACATACCCCTTAGAGAAATCCGAAATAAAGCAGTAACCTTCTTCGAGAACAATATTGTTCGCTAACAAAATCTCACATATTACTTCTTAATATAATGTACTTTTGCTACTAATTATTTGCACTGTTGCACACTCATAGAAGATGCGAACATAAACCACAGAATTCCAGCCAAATGGACAAATGATACCGTGCTGCGCATAATATCTAGAATTCTGGATTCATTCCCACACAAGATTTTTGGTCTACACTGTTGAAGCATCGTACACTCAAAGCAAGCAGTTGCCTGATGCGCCTTGGTTTAAAACGATCGTCTAACTGATGTCAGTTCACAACCTAAACTTTTTAATTATTGACACTGTCCAATTTCCCTATTTTTTTCGAAGTTTTTAGTTTACCTATTATTTACTAGAAACCGCAACGAACTACGCAAAGACCATTGGACGTCTTCAGATCTATCTGATAAAAATTTATTCACATTCCAATTCCTCACTCTCCCCCACAGATGATGTAACTACTTTGATGTCAGTAAGACGGAAATGTAAGATGAATAAGGGAAATAAAGGTATGCTGCTCAGTGGACTTTTTGTAGGGTATTCTGGTGAGTGAATACGCTTGCATCAGCCCGACGAAACCTTAGATTGGATGCATAAGGCCCGTTTGGCATTTGATAACTTGCGCAACCTGCCGTACCAGTGAGATATTCGATTATCTATCAAGGGACGAGTATACCACGCTGCAGTATGCGGCTGTGAGACATGGTCCCTAAAAGTAGAAGAAATGAAGCGGTTACAGGGTTTTAATTATATATTCGTACAATCCCTCGCGCTTGGTGGAATCACGATGTGAGCAATGTTGAGGTCAGGCTAAAGTTAATAGGAAAGACAGGCAAATCAACTGATCAGGCTGTGAACATTGGTGGACTGACATGGCTTGAATATGCACTGTGCATGCAGAGTTACCGCTTACCTCGACGTACCGTGGTAGAACCTGGACTAGGTGGCCAGACCAAGACGTGGCAACAGTTCATGAAGTCCCTGACTCTTGGTCTGACTCATGTGGGAAAAATTTAGGCCACCTTACTGAGGTCCCCGAGACGATAGGAATCAGTAGTTGAGAACTCTTGGTGACATGGTTAAAAATCGTCCACAATGATGCAGATTTGGCAACCAGAACCGATGCACTTGTGTGCGAGGTTCTACATTCATTTCGTCTGTTTGTCTAACTGCGGTTATTGATTAAGAATTACAGACCGGAGTCCGGTTACAATTAATTCAGGTCGGAGGTTGGATTGTACTGTTAAGAATCTCTCCGATGTACGGTTCGCTCTAGGCAACTATGTGCACATTCGTGTAGTTGGTGATGAGCCGTAATTATTGTGTTCAGGCTAATGATACTACCTAGCCGCTCAAACCTCAGTAGGTGGGGTGGTGCTTGGAACTAGAAGAATAAATACTAAACTATGAGCCACACCAAGGTCCAATGAAACTACCTTCTTACTAAAACTTCAAAAGCACGATGTGAATACTTGGCCAAATGGTTAAAAGTTGTATATTTTGGATATTGGCAAAAATGGAATTATGAATATCAGACTAGTGGTCAGATTATTATCGCACTGGAAATGTTGTGCATAAATACCAAAACGAAGTTACAAGGAATTCACAAAATCACATGTACAACTTGTCACTAACTGTAGTAAAATAGGCCCTACCCATGAAGGATCTCACACACAAATGAATAGTCTGTAAAAACCGAATCGAAAAAATATAATAAGATTCATTGAACTAATCGCTGAAGAGTTACTAAACAGCTAATATCACCACAAAAACATAAAACTGAACTATAAATTCATTTGAAACTGTCACCTAAGGAAATATATCAATACTGCAACAAAAAAATCTCTAGTTCAACTTACAATAAGTGATATTTAAAGGACGATATCCAATATCATCTTTAGTAACGTCAATCATCAGGCCAATACGATTTGTTGTAGCACAAACCTGGAGTTTTTTCCTATCCTTCATAACTTTTATTTCATTAGAAAAAATAGCGAAAAGGCTCACATGAAGATAAAACATTAGTTTTAATGTTTTTATTGGCTGTAAATTCGTTAAGATTTTTCATCAGTTGGCTAGCATGACAAGATTTATTCTTTTGTAGTACAGATCTAGAAAGTCACATCAATTGAGATTTTCAAACCTTAAGAAAGTAAACAGATTCTGACCACAGTATTCAATTATTCCATTGGATGCAGTTGACTTAGCAACAAATGGTGTGGATTCATATGAATCACTAAGAAAATAATCGAAAACTTAATCATTACCGGAAATAACCAACGTGATACTGTTCATTACTGCATATTATCACAGTTACAAATTCAGGTGGGTCATGATAAAAGCGGTAGTAATTAGACCACTGTCCTTTCGTAACCTGATCTTTGGATCCCATATGATATATTTCATATGGACCGACCAAACGGAATCCAATCTCCGATAACGCATCTAAGGAAGAATATAACATGCCAATCTTTTCAAACCAAGCGGTGAATCAGTGCTACAAGCTTGACAAAACTCATAGAACTGGAGGAAGTCTAGGGGGCATTTGAAAAGAAATCCCTGATTAATCATTGAAATACGCTCCTGTAATTGATCAGAGTTAGGATGACTGAGCACCAAAGCTTCGTTCAAAGAAACTTTAGTTTTCTTAGAGACAACTGAAGGTTCTTCATCTTTTACTGCAACACTTGAATTGCGCTTCTTTGGCTTTTCTCTCATACTTGACAATGAAATTCGATGCACAAACCCCTTAATCATCATAAAAATTGAAATAACACAGAAAAAACCAAATTAGTTCATCCAACTGAGAACAAGATAAAAAATACCTAAAGTTTTAATACGTTTTGATGAAATAGGAAGTAAGAAATCACAAGCAAGAATAAAATCATCCTAAAACACCAACTTTAGTGTTTTGTTTTCTGAGCTAGATGTTTCAACATAACACCATTAAAACTACCCACCTGAGCTACAAACACTCTCCATCAATAGAACATCAATATTTCATGACCTCTCCAACCATATTTAAGGATAGTCTTTTACTGATGGTATGAGTCATGTGGAGCGATGTAGACTATCTGCTTCGTATCGCCCAGACGAAAGGAATCAGTGGTTGAGGACTCTTGCTGACATGGATGAAAATCGGTCACAATGACGCAGATGCTTTCACTCCTTGATATCTAAAGTTTGAATGTTCACACTGATCTTCATCTTCAAATTGTTTATTCTTTCTTGGTTGTATTTTGTTCTCTGAGCTGAGTTGTTTAGTCGTGGAGCTTTCATCGTCTTTCTAGACGACATCATCAGCACTAATTTCAGTATGAAGTGAGTGAGCTGTAAATATCTCTCCGTCAGTGATTTAGTGGCTCGCCCTGACGAACTGGTTAGTGATTGGTTGTTTCATTTGATTGTTGTGTCATTGGCTGTACAGATTTTCTTGTTAACTGTTCCTCTGCTTGACCTGTAACCTTTCTGTCGTTTATCATTTTTTGCATTGGTTAATAGATTGGGTCTGTGTCTATATATCTGTTGACTGCAAACCGAGCTGAATGCCAAGCTTCTAGAAATTCTCTGATATTGTTGGTGTTTCCTCTGTCCGAAATTTCTACATTGTCAAGTGAATTTATGTCCATAATTATACACATGCATTGAAATGAGTGATGAAATGTCGTGACGTTTAATAGCCAATTGATGTTCATTTAGACAAACCTCGAAGACGACAAAGTGAACACATACGGTACTAAGAATGATTTTTAATCACAGATTCGCTAACCATTTATTTCCATCCTTCGGACGACCTCACCCAAATAACCTGCACAGCTTAGATAAGCAAGGACTCTATGAACCGGTGTCATGTCCAGATCTGGACACCATCACCTTCCACCTAAACTAATCCTACTTCATCCAACACTTAAAAAACGGTAGAAACTCACTCAGCAACCCTGTGCATATCTGTTCAATAAGCTATGAGCCACACGACTTGTGAGGGTTAATGATACTACCTGGCTGCCTAAACTTCAGCAGTTGAAGCTGGGCTGCAACCCGTGACCCAACGGCTGGTCGTTTAACATTCATTTAATCACCTACTATACCATACAGAAGTTACGGTCACTGGGATATTTAAGGTAAGAAGAAGTAACAACTCTGAAGTAATCCGCGTATTCACGGCAAAAATAGATGTGGTTAAGAGCAACTTAAAAATGTTTGCAAAATACTTTGAGCACTCCACAGAAAACGTTGCACATTCCTAAATCAAAATAATTTCAAAAATTGCAGAATTTGTCAAAGCAAGCGAGATATTTTCCGGCTACATTTTATTTTGGGACTGACTGTGTACCAACGAAAAATCAAACGAAATGTGCTCCACTGCCCTCAGTGGTACTTAGTACGACGTACTTGAGATGCTTTCTATACCTTTACACGTCCTGCAGTGACAGATTTAATAGTTTTGGTACAAGAGGGCGAATCACGCGTAGTAAGCACGTAAACAAAAGTGGATTAATTCTACTGCATGCATTGTAGCTTAACAAAAGCTACGATTCCGAAAAGGGAAACGTAACATTTTCGCGGAACTTTCTAGCAATACAAAGGGGCCAAATGCCATAACAACTTCACCGGGTCACGGGATACGCACTGCGTGGTGCCAATGATTTCAATGTCTCGTCGCCATTGACTCACAATTTCTCTTAATTGCTCATATATCGCGAGTACACTAGTAATAAACAGATGATGTTAATGAATCGCAACCACAATAAAAGCCGCACGGAGCAGCTTGAATAGTCAACTACATCACAAGTTGGCTTACAAACAGACTACTGGCGCCAAGTGCTGCACACTTCCTCCATGAACAGCTACTTCCTGAAAATGTTTTCCAGTATTATGTGGGTCGCGAGCTTGTAGAGAAAATTGTGTCGAGGCGTAGGGAAACGACAGATAGATATGTATTCCAGTTTGCCGTTTGTCACAGAAGAAAGTTTGTTCATGAAGGAAAGTTATAACTTTATTTCAAATCTAAGCCCGCTGAATGAAATAATTTACAGTCATGCGGACAAATTCATGTATAAAAGTTCATTTGATTTCTCCATAGGCATCCCAATAAAAAACTGATACGGGATTCGACAAAAGATTTCTGAAGACCTTCAGTTTTAATAATTCTTTACATTATTAGAAGCGTTTCATAATCTTAAGACTGCTTTTAAACGTTCTTATGTCGTATTTTGGTCAAGGTAATATTTGCACCTATTGGATATAATCATTTTCCTTCGACTCCCAAGATTCAAGATCAGTATATAAGGTCTGGCCCTCAGGGCAGAGAATCACTTTTAAGTTAAAAGGCTGTTTGAGTGTAAATCCATCTAGATATGCTTACTGAGCTACGACTGACGTGGCTAACCACAAGGAAACAACTGTTTCCAACATTTTCCATCTTTTAGATTGTGATCATCTGTCAGGATGGTCTTTAGTTGCTGAAGGAATATAAACAAAGGGTCTTAGATACACCTTATTACAGTACAAAAAGAGTAAGCTTGTGTTTTTTGAACTCTCACATCTGTCTTAAAAATGAATAAGCGTAAATGAATGTAGCAGTGTGAGAAATAATCAATGCACACGCTAATAAATAGGTTGCGGAGTTAACAATTAACAAAGAAAAGATATTAAATTACAAGTCAGTGACCGGCAAAATCAACGTAGAACCTCGCATACAAGTACGTCACTTCGAGTTGCCACACTTCACGGCAGTACACAGACAACAAGTTGTTAGAAAAGTGTTATCAAAGCAGATAAAGTACTGTGAGAGAACAAGCAATTTGAAGATGAAGATCAGTGTGAACATTCAAGCTTTAAATGTCAAGGGGTGAAAGCATCTGCGTCATTGTGACCGATCTTCATCCATGTCAGCAAGAGTCCTCAACCACTGGTTCCTTTTGTCTGGGGGATATCAACCACACAGTTTACATCGCACATAGCTCAGAACAGCAGTCAGGGACTCCATCGATTGATATGAAGCCTAGCTCATCCATCTGAAAACTTCGGCTATTAGGCTGCCTCAATTTTCCACTTCGAATCACTAACATTCGTCGTTTATCGTTTAACATATAATCGCACGGTTTTCATCTTGCATTTCTAGACTCTCGTGTCAAAACTCAGACAACTGTCTGAGTGGACCTTCATAGCCAAACTCAGGCACAATCGTCTGCGTATCATCTTGCAATAACATACCCACATGCTGGTCGAAAACCTACCAACAGCTACTCTTTACAGTAGGTTTTGTAATAGTTCTGATAACGTTTACTATGCCTAACACGTGTGACGTAACTACATCGACAAATGTTAGGACAAAACACAAGACCTAGAAGCGAGCGCGAAGAAATCAATTAGTTTACACTAGCTCGTTAAAAGATATTGGATATGGGATGTCAGGTTTTAGTCTGGCCACCCCGAACTCTCTTAAAACCTAGTCCAGTCTCCCCCAAAATGGCACGTTGAAGTTCCCAAATGGAGCAAATATTCAAAATGCGTTTTAAGAGGTTGAGTAATAGTACTCAGCTATTAATGTTCAACAGCAATAAACTTTGGGAAAAGTACGGATGCACTACAATTACTTCCCATTCTGAAACACGCCCGTCAGTGTAAAATGATTTAAAAAATCACAGAAGCAAATTATACGAACCTTAAGCCGTTAGTAGATGCAATTGTTTCGCTTTGTTTCAAAATAACACAGTTCAAGGTCGTATCAAGGTTGAAACCTGCAACGTTCAAATCCTAAACTCAGGTTACCCATCCAATATCCAATGTCTTTTCATGAGCTAGTGTGAACCAAATGGTTTCTTCGCCTTCGCTTTTAGGTCCTGTGGAACGGTTTCAGGCCTTTTGTGTATTCCAATGCAGTAGGTCTACTCACTCGGCTGCTGTAGCTCTGGTTAGCCCAGCGGGCGGTTGGGTGTTGGTTAAATTTGTAGGGAGTGTTGTTTGTTTGTTTGTTTTTTCTTCCGAGGACTGCGGTGCAAATGGGTTCCTCAGGTATCGTGCCAACAGACAATTGGTCAGGCTGGTTGTGAAAAGATGAAAAATATGTGCAGAGAAATCAAGGGAGAGAAAGTGCAGAGAAGGACAAAATGGAAAGAGAAAAAGAAAAAAGATTAAGAAAAAGGAAGCGGCATGGAAGAAGAAGCATTCATAGGTTTATGGGGATGCATTGATAGCGAAAGCTTTTGTTAAAGTTCCAGAAGATAAAGTCAGAAGGAAGAAGAATAAATAACACGATAGGACGAGTGGAAATATAGTAATTCTTTTAGTGGGAAGCGGTAACTAGAGGAGACGTTTACAGGAAGGCATAAGGTTGAGCCAAGTTCCCAGTGATGGTGGTTTTACGGAGTGTTCAGTAACGGTTGGCCGTAACGAGTTAGCAGGTTGTGTCAGCCTAGTCCACATCCCAGTTGGATGAGCGCAAACCGTGCGTCGCTGCGCAGCTGTCCAACCTCTTCTTGAAGCTGTCAACAAACGCAGCAGTAGCAATCTCGGCAGGCAATGTGTTCCAGTGGCCTCAAACTCGTAGAAAGAAGAGGTGTGATCACGCACGCTTTCTCGCTCTTTGGTGGGCGATTCTCCTTGGGTTACCACGAGGGTCGCCATAGTGGCCGTTCGGTAAGATTCCGCTGTTCGGATGACTTGGGTTACTTAGTATTTTGTAAGCCGTATCCAAGTCACCACGTAATCTACGGTAGCTAAGGGACTTCAGCCCCAGGTCTTTCAGCCTGTCTTGATATGATTTCCGCCTCATTCCCATGGTAGCCTCTGTAGCTTGCCTTTGGACTTTCTCTAGTAGGTTAACGTCTCTTTACAGATATGGTGGTGCAATGACGTTGTGTACCTCTAAGTGGGGTAGTATGTAGGTCTTATACAGCTTCAAAAAGAGTTTCGAGGTCAGGGCACCCAGCTGTCTTCTCATGAAGTGCAGTGCTCCGCAGGCTCTGGAGGCACCTCCCGGATAACTAGAGCTAGTGTCTAGTTTACTGTCCGTAGTGGTGTGGGACGGTTGTGTTCCACAGAGAAGACAGGGCACCTTCTGAGAGTCTGGGGTGCGAAGAAACATGGCTTGGCGTTTATCTAGGTTAAATGCAGGTCCATTAATATCCACCCACTCTGCAAGTAATCTGAGGTCACTTTGCAGTGCACTTGACTCTGTTTCCGACGTCATAGCTCTCCATGACTTAACATCATCAGCGTAGAGTAGAACTGGAGAGCTGAGATTCAGTGGGAGGCTGTTCACAAAAGGAAGGAGCAGCAGTGGACCCAGAATCTCCACTTGTGATTCACTGGATGATGGTGAGGAATGGTGTGTGGGACTGTGTCGAGGGCCTTAGCAAAATCCAGGGAGGTAACATGGACAGGAATTTGGGGGTCCCAGCATGCCGTCCACTTATCGCCTACCACCGAAATGTTTGTGGCACAGGACCTACCATTTCTGAAACTATGTTGAGCATCACTAAGTGCTCCCTGACACGGCGGCCTACCAGGCTCTCAGTTACTTTTGACACCACTGGTAGAAGGGCTATGAGTCGGTAGCATTTTGGGTTCCACCTGTCTCCACCTTTGAAGATGGGGGCTAGGACAGCTCGTTTCCACTCTCGTGGAGGCATGTGATTGTCCAAGGAGTGCTGAAACAAGTTACACAGTGGACCGCACAAGGCACCCGCGCATTGTTTCAACACAGCCGGTTGGGTGTCATCACACCTCGATGATTTTCCTGCTCGGAGCTTTGACAGCTTTTCTAGGACCATGGTAGGAGTTACCTTTATTCCAGGCAACTCTACTGCATTTTGTGGCGCTGAATCTTGGTCGGATAGTCGGTAATTTTGGTCCGATAGGGACGTACTCAGTTACGTATCGAAGGTGCAGCTAAAGGCTTTGGCGATTCCTAGTCCGGAGAGGTTCTCTCCGTCCAGGCCCTTCAGGACGAAAGCCCCCTGACTGCCGGATTTTCTGCCTGCCATTAAAGGAAATAGAATTTTGGGGTTTGCCTCGAGCTTTTGGGCAATGTTCGTCTGGAATGACCTCCTGTCTCCCCTCACCCTGATGCTACATCAATTTCTTAGGGCAACACATGAGGTGTGGTCAGGCTCCCTTCTGGAGTTCCTCCACTTGTAACATGCTTTCCTCTTGACTTCCGAAAGGCATTTGGTGTCTCGCTTCGGCCATGAGGTTCGCTTCCGCGGTATTGCTGTGACTACAGGGACGTTTACAGAGATAGCCCTCTAGATGATATCTATAACTAGTTCTAAATGTTGATCAGTCGACGGGTTGCTCCACTCCTGAGGCCTTTGCGCTATCAACAGGCATCGGTTCATCTCCACGTAGTCCACTATGTTGTAGCAAAGACAAGAACGAGATCCCTCCCATGACAGTTGTTCGTCGAGCACCGGATCGAACACTATCACGCCATGATCGCCGCTGCCGGGAGGGGGTGAACCTGTACATTTTCTACCAGCAGGTGGTCACTGGTAAAGAGATAGTCCAGTTCGAACGGCTTTCCGCCCGACCCCCAGCGACTGTCACCACCAATATTCTTGTGCAGTCCAGCCTTTTTGACAGTGCTGAGTAGGTTTCGGTCGAACCTTTGGCTTGAGGTTCCCCTGTCCTGCCCAAGATTGAGGGTTGGAGTATTAAAGTCACCGGCCATAATGACCTGGTCAGATCCGATGGACTTCGCCCCAGACATTACTTGCAGCAGTCGTCGGTTATCTTCCACGTTGGTAGTAGGAGTTCTGTAGACCCCTCCTACTAGGCACTTGGTGTGTCAAACAGCAAAGTGACACCAGATGGAGTCTGGGAGCCCTGAAATTAGAGTTTCAGTTGCTCGTCCACTTTTAAGGTCATCACTTATAATCAACGCCACTCCGCCTCCTTCCTTAAACTCCCTGACTCTCCTAAACGGACGCATACCGTCTATACTACTTCCGATGTCACTAGTATCCGGTGATAGCCAAGTTTCTGTTAGGATTATGATCGTTGAAGCAAGGTAGGAACAGAGAAGTCGTAACTCCCCCGTTTTACCTCTAAATCCCTTCACATTACTGCAAAAACGCTTGGATATATTTCTAACGACATGGGGTATCTTGGTGCTGGCAGACTGGAGGGAGTCGTGTGTAGTGGCGAAACTTGTTATAGGACGGCCAGCTCCAGTGGAACCGGCCCAACCACGTCTTTTCCCACAATGGCATCTGGGGATTTCATGGAGTCTAGGCTTGTTTGTGCATCTTGTCTGTTAACAGTGATGATGACCTCAGCACTGGGAGGGGCTGTTATTTGCTGTTGTCGCACTGTCCTGAGTCCGCTTTCATAGCAGCGAACGTTCCCACTGATGTTATCTTCTACTGCGTATCAAGCCTGCAGTACTCTGGTTAAAAGTTTTCGACAGCCGAAGTTAACAGCCATCGACCGGGGTGGTGTTGTCGTCGTCAAATGTGAGGGACGTGGCAGTCTGCAGACCACTGCCGCCGCCATCATATTTAATCTTATCCTCGCTGATAACCACTATCATTGCTGGACGTCATGAGCATACTTTTCTACGACTGTGCCGGTTATCAGTTCCTGTATGCCGTAGACAACCATGGTTGTCGGTTTCAGTGTTTGGGGTGCCTCGTGACATGATTTTCTTCCTGGCCGAGGGCGGTCTGGTCCGGCTCTAATTCTGGATAACCTGTTGATGGCTAGTGTGTGTGACAGCAACAAGAATCTTTCCGCTTCCTTAGCCGAGCTCAGAGTCACTCTCATCGGCGGAGGCTTTCCCTGACGTGAGCAGTTGCCTTTGTAGAGCAGGCACAGCTTGGCTTCTAGGCTACCCAGTCGTGGTATGGTGCATACGGTTTCCCACTGCTGTCTGTCAAAAGATTCTCTGTTCTCAGGAAGGCCGTCACGGCACACGGGGAGGTTAAATAGGGTGATGGAATTCGATCTGTCACCAATTTCTCTGTTTTCGTGTACTGTGGGTGGTTTTTTGCGGGAAGGGTGCATCTTCTTTTCCACTGTCACCCATTTTTTCCTACCTACAGTGGGGTTAGCCGTTAAAGTGACTTCAGGGTTAGCGACTAGTGTAGTTGGTCGCCTACCCGGTCGTCATTTGGGTCTTTTTGGACTATTCACCGGTGTGACTGGTTGGGGTACAGAGTTGACGCTCTTGCCGCTTGGACCTGGGGTAGTGGTCTTACTAAAAGGTTCACTTAAGGACTTTCTTTTCCTTCTCTTTCGTCTCTCCGTGGTAGCCTTCACAGGTAGACTGGGGTTTAGGCTGGAGGCGCCGGGAAAGACGTGCTCTTCAATGAACTACATCACAAGGGTTCAGAGGGATGGGAATTCGACTTTTCCCAGGAAGTGGTTGCTGCAACTGTCCTCCTAAGGTTCACCCGTGATCT